TTTGATTGATGGTTTAACTGACAGAAATTCAGGTAGAAAATAAGTTTTTTCTTAGAATTTTGAGTTATATTTTTCTCCTCGTTTTCATTATTGCTGCTGCGAAGTTTGGTGCCAATCCCGTTCTCTTTATAGTCATGAGACCCTGTTTCTTCCTGCTGAAAAGTTCAGAATGCTTTCCTTATTCTTAGAGTTTCACTAGTCCATCAGCATAGCACTGTGGACACTGCCCAGTATTCCGGGAGTCCATCTCCAGTTCTGGAAGTCTCCCCTTGTTCCCTCTGGTCTCTGCTACCTCCTTCTCTGCCATGAGACTGATTTTGTAACACAGCAAACAGTCCATCCTCCCATATTCTAGCCCATGACTTACAGTTTACATTTCTCCATCTTTTTGTTCTGCACTCTGGAAGAGCTCTTTGTGCCAAGTTTTCTAACTCGGGTTTCACCTCCTCATGCCTCTTGCTGGGTGATTCATGTCCTGGTGATAATACTCCAACATCATAGGCTATGGAGTTCTATTTTGCTTAGCAGGTTTTTAGAGTTCTGATGGCGTCTTTGATCTCTGAATACCACTGAGTAATGATATTCTCTTGAGCTCAATTTTCAGTTGGTAATTTTTGCATTTAGTGACTTGGAAATTTCTCTTCTGATTTGGGCTTTTTTTTTGCAAGAGTTTGGTGTGGTGGCTAATTGTGGTTGTCAACTTAATTTACCTGGTAAAAACAAAAGGACCTTCCATGGAAAATTTACCTCCATCAGATTGGTCTATAGACATGTCTTTGGGTTATCTTATTAATTGTAAATAGACAACGAAAGAGGTATCTTGATAGAGGGGACCATTATGGGGCTAAGAAGAAACCTGGTAAGCCTGGCGGTGGTGTCGCACACCTTTAATCCCAGCACTCGGGAGGCAGAGGCAGGTGGATCTCTGGGAGTTTGAGGCCAGCCTGGTCTACAAGAGCTAGTTCCAGGACAGGCACCAAAGCTACAGAGAAACCCTGTCTCGAAAAACCAAAAAAAAAAAAAAAGAAAGAAGAGAAAACAAAAACAAAACGAAAAAAAAGGAAATGCATCTCCCACTCCTGGAACCCATTAACTGCCTATACATTTTCAAGGGTTTATGAGCCCAAACCTCATGACAGAATATCAACAGGCCCTAACTTGTGTGTGTGTGTGTGTGTGTGTGTGTGTGTGTGTGTGTGTGTGTGNATCATAGAACCTTCACCCAGTAACTGATGGAAGCAGATGCAGAGATCCACACCTAAGCACTGGGCTGAGATCCAGGAGTCCAGTTGAAGAAAGGGAGGGGGGTTTTATGAGCAAAGGGGTCAATATCATGACAGGGAAACCCACAGAGACAGCTAACCCGAACTCATGGGAACTCATGGACCCTAGACCAACTAGGGAGACTGCATGGAACCAACCTAGGCTTTGCATGTGGGTGACAGTTGAGTGGGACCTCTAGCAGTGGGACTAGGATCTCTCCCTGGCATATGAGCTGACTTTTTGGTGGGATGGGATGCCCTGCTCAGCCTTGATGCAGGTGGGGAGGGGCTTGGTACTGCCTCAACTTGGTATGCCAGGGTTTGTTGATTCCCATGTGAGACCTTACTTACCCTTTTTGAGGAGTAGATTGGGGGAGAGGGTAGAAAGGAAGTAGAGGGAGGGAGCATGGGGAGATGAAGGAGGGGAAACTGTGGTTGGTATGTAAAATAAATTTAAAAATTTAATTTAAAAAAATTTAATAGAGGAGGGTACAGCCTATTGTGACCAGTGCCATCCCTGGGCAGGTGGGCATAGGATGTATAAGAAAAACAGCTGATGGGGCTGGAGAGATGGCTCAGCGTTTAAGAGCATTGCCTGCTCTTCCAAAGGTCCTGAGTTCAATTCCCAGTAACCACATGGTGGCTCACAACCATCTGTAATGAGGTCTGGTGCCCTCTTCTGGCCTGCAGGCTTACACACAGACAGAACATTGTTTACATAATAAATAAATAAATAAATAAATAAATAAATAAATAAATAAATAAGAAAAGCAGCTGAGCAAGCCAGGGGAGCAAACGAGTGAGCAGCATTCTTCCATTGTCTCTGCTTCAGTTACTGCCTCCAGGTTCCTGCTCTGGCTTCCCTTGATGACTGTACTGTAACCTGGAGGAGAAAATAAACCCTTTCTTCTCTAAATCAGCTTTCATCAGTGTTCTATCACAGCAAGAGAAAGCAAACTAGAACATTTAGGTTTTTCTTATACTTTATAAAAATAACAAGTTTTGTGGGCAAATATTTGGTGGTAGACTGGATTTCTATTTACCCAGCAGAGTGAGAAGTCCTGAGCTAAGAGAATGAGGCAGATGTCAATAAAGCAAGATACTCCACGTCCTCCTCTAGCTAGCCTCTGTACATGCATGTACACACACACACATACACATATCACACATACACACATACACACGTGAGCACATGGACCAAACCCTTGGAGACATCTCTTTTCAGCTTTGTGAGTTCCTAAGCAAAAGACCTGCCTAAGCTATGGCAAGGCTTGTTACCACACAAACTGGGGGAATAAATATGCATTATCTTAAACTGCTGGTATTTTTAATCACTAGTGTACTGTGTGTCACCTGTACATAGATTCCCTGCTTCTTGGCTGTTGCCCATGTCTCTATACCCACTGGTTACTTGGAATGCTTCTTTATGGTACATACACATGAACACCCCCATGCATACATTCGCATATGTATGATCATATGCACAAGTGCACACTTAGATGTATACACTCATGCACATACCTTAAAGAAGTGTCCTTCGGTTTTATCCAGAGTTCTCAAATCCTTTCCACTATACAAAGCCTTAAGACTGAAACAAAATAGAGTAAAAGCCAGTGGCCATTTTCATGGTTTAAAATGGATGCAAAATTCCTGAATAAAATATTAATAAGTCATGTTCAATGAAACATAAAAGAATAAGTCACGAGTAGGTTTTTTTTAGAAATGCAAAAATAATGATGAATTATGTATTAAATTCATGAGGGGATTCACTTGGTGTGTGAAAGGTAGCATCCCGGAGTCCAGTTACGCTCCAGTGGATGCAAACTCCAGATCAGATCCCACAGACCCTTCCTGAGACCAACCTCTGCAGATCCAGGTCCCATCTCCTAAAATCCAAGCAGCGGGTCTGCCCCAGTGAACCTGGGGTTCGTGCCCATCTCTGCACACACAGGAAACAGGCAAGGCCCCCTGCAGACTTCACTGGCCATTCTGCCTAGAATATCTGGGTGGGATGACTGGTCAAAGCTGCTGAAAGAGATGCCAATTACACACACCCTAAGGTGACCTCTGCATACCTGTTAAAATGAGTAGCCCAGAAAAAAGACAAGCAGCAACTAATGTTGGTGAGGTTGTGTACAAAACCGTTGATCACTTCTGCTGGGAGCATAAATTTATGAATGCAAAATGACAGAGGGGCTCCTCAAAAGTTTAGAGAGCATTACCATGTAAACCAGAATTCTGTTTCTGAGTACAAGTCCAAAGAACAAGAAATTAGCATCTCAGAGAGGGCTATACCACAGAGTTCACTGCAGTGGTTTTCAGAGTCGCCAAGATGAGGAATCAGCTAATGATGCAGGGATAGATGGATGGGCGGATGAGGAAAATGTAATGGGTAGGCTGAGAGATTCATAGGTACAGATAGACATCAACACATGATGGAGTGCTAGGCTACTTTTTAAAAAGACAAGTGCTTTGTAATGTGCAAATACACCTAAGTTAAGTAAGCCAGAAACAGAAGGAAATGCTGCATGACCTCCCATGGGGAATCAAAGCAGGTTGAGTTCATAGACACAAGCAGAATAACTACTGGCAAGGCCTGGGATGGTGGAGTGGGGAACTGCTAAGGAAATGGCATAAAGTTTCAGCATAAGTTATGCATTCTTATGACCTAAAGTACAGTTAGTACATATGTATCTATACTACAAATTTACTAAGAGAAGTGAGTCTTGAATACTCACCCCCCCAAAAAAATGTCCCTGTACAAACTGATCGACAAATCAATAGGCCATAATCCATAATCATCTCATAATACATACATATGAAGACATCACACTGTATACTTCAAGAGAGAGTATAAAACTCTGGTAGCAGCTTATGCTGGAGAGGATGTGGAGTAAGGGGAACACTGCTCCATTGCTGGTAGGAGTGAAAACTTGTACAGCCACTTTGGAAACCAACATGGTGATTTCTCAGAAAATTGGGAATCAATCTACCTCAAGACCCAGCAATAGCACGCTTGGGTATATACCCAAAGGATGCACACTCACACCACAAGGTCCACTTGCTCAACTATGTTCATGGCAGCATTATTCATAACAGCCAGAACCTGGAAACAACCTAGATGGCCCTCAACTGAAGAATGGATAAGGAAAATATATTTACACAATGGAGTACTATTCAGTGGTTAAAAAAAAAAAAGAAAATGACATGTTGAAATTTGCAGGCAAACAGACAGAACTAGAAAAAGCCATCCTGAGTGAGGTAACCCAGACCCAAAAAGACAAACATAATTTTACTCACTCATAAGTAGATATTAGACATAAAACAAAGGAAACCAGCCTGCAGGCCACAATCCCAGAGAAACTAGGTAACAAAGAGGACCCTAAGAGAGACATACATGGATCTGCCTAGGAAGGGGGGAAAAAAAGACAAGATCTCCTGAGTAAACTGGGAATCTGGGGAGCAGGGGGTAGGGTGGAAGGGCAGAGGGGGGAGGGAGAAAGGTAGGGGTGGGGATAAATATATAGCACATTTCTATCCAGACAATTAAAATGAGAAGGATTATAAATAAATAAATTTATAATATTTATTTATAATATTGTATTATTATAATAATGTATTATGATAAATAAATCATTTTTAAAAGAATTTTTTAAGTGTGTGTGTTATCTGTCAATTGTACTCCAAAAAATTTGGGGAAAAAAGTACAATTTAACTGCTGCATAAATGAAATCGTACCATTCGGGATTTCATCACATTTTTTTCATTGAGTATAACTCCCTCGATGCATCCAAGTTGTACATGTATGAATAACAATCACTTTCCTTTGCCAGGGTGCTTCGGAGTTCAGATCAAACCATAATCTTCTTAACTGTCCATCTGCTGGGCAGCTGGGCTCTTTTTAGTCTAGCAGTTCAAGATGTGGAAATGAACCTGGGAACACAGTGACACGGGCGAAAAAGCTTTGCATGCAGCCAAGAAATAGACAAAACCCAAGGCTCACCGTGGGAGACCTGGCTAAAATCAGCTACTGAACTCATAACACGTGTAGCTAGGGGAGGTTACTTCATGTTTGTGACTGAGTTACAGGAGAGGAACTAGAGTGGGCTCCTTCTGTGTTTGAGGGAGTGTGAAGACTGCTAGGTAGGCACAGAGAACAAGGCTCCCACTTAGACTGTTCTGGGAGGTTTACACGCCTGCCCAGCATGTTCCCTTATACTTCCTCTCATGGTGCTGGCTAGGTGGGCGCTAGAACTGCAACCCCAGGTAATCAATGCAGGTGGCAAAATGAGGCTTTCTACTTAAGACAATATTCCTAATATGCTCCCTGGATTGTGTGACATTGGTTGTATATTTTTATGGTGGGTACTTTTTTTTATCTGTTTTCTCTTTTGAGTCTGGGTCTCACTCTGTAGCATCGCAGGCATGTGGGCCTCCCTTCAGTCTGTAAGTCACGGGATGCTCACAGGTAGTCCTCACTGGTCCCAAAGCTTGAGTTACTCACATAAATCCTACTTGAATGAGACATACTATGCTTTTAATGTGCCGCTAGATTCAATTACTTAGTATTTTATCAAATTGTTTCCTCCTGTATTAGCCTGTAATTTTATTTTCTCGTCTTGGTATCAGAAATAAACTGGCCTTATAAAATAAGAGAGGTAGTTCCTACATTTTTCTCTGCTCTACAATATAAGATGAACCGGGTTCTTTCCTGGGATCAGAGAGAACCCGCCTATAACTACCAAGGGCTTGTGCTGTGGACGACAGAAAGGAAGGGCAGATTGGTAGATGGTCCTTTAACTGCCGTCTCTATTTTTTTATGAGTGTTTTCTATTGGTTTTTCTTGGGCCAATTTTGGAAATTTATATTTTCCTTGACATTTTTGTCCATTTCATCTAAGGTTTTCAAATGGATGGGTATAAAGTTATATAGTTGAATCACATCATCCATACATTTATTATATGTGGATTTTCAACTATACATGCTCCATTAAATGTTTTATATATTTCTTTAAAGGGGAGAGGGAGGCTAGCATTTTAAAGCATGTGGGCTATCCCTTCTGATATTCCAATTAGAGGCACTGGGTTTCACCAGAGCAACGTGAACTGGCTGATCCCAACCCCGGGTGGGGATCTCATCACCCCAAGGGTGGCAGTGTAGTTTAAAAGCATTTCTCACATAAACTACTCTAGTTTAAGAAGCAGTGCTGAGAGTCCAAGCTGACCAGAAGCCAGAGTTTCCAGAGTGTCTGCTCCACCCTCAGCACACACACGCCTCCAAAGACCTCCCCGTGGACATTCCCATCCCAGGGGGTTTGTCTTACCTTTTGACTTCAGCTGAGTGCTGGGCAAAACAGCCCCCAGCTCTTTGAAACTGCCTCTGTATTCCAGACGCTCTGTCCTTGCCATGACCATCCTAACCAACAATTTATGTGTTTTGACATTCTATCAAAAATCCAACTCTGGCTTTTATTGATCTCAAGATTCATTTCTTTTGCTTATTTCTGCTTTCATTTTTATTAACTTGATCTATCTATTTTGAGTTTGATTTTTCTTTCTTTCCTTCTTCACTGAAGCCGTGGTGTAGTATACAATTTCTTTTTTTTATTTCTTTATTAATTAATTAAAGATTTCTGTCTCTTCCCCACCGCTGCCTCCCCTTTCCCTCCCCCTCCCCCAATCAAGTCCCCCTCCCTCATCAGCCCAAAGAGCAATCAGGGTTCCCTGCCCTGTGGGAAGTCCAAGGACCACCCACCTCCATCCAGGTCTAGTAAGGTGAGCATCCAAACTGCCTAGGCTCCCACAAAACCAATAGGTGCAGTAGGATCAAAAACCCATTGCCATTGTTCTTGGGGTCTCAGTAGTCCTCATTGTCTGCTATGTTCAGCGAGACCGGTTTTAACCCAGGCTTTTTCAGACCCAGGCCAGCTGGCCTTGGTGAGTTCCCGATAGCACATCCCCATTGTCTCAGTGTGTGGGTGCCCCCCTCGCGGTCCTGAGTTCCTTGCTCGTGCTCGCTCTCCTTCTGCTCCTGATTTGGACCTTGAGATTTCAGTCCGGTGCTCCAATGTGGTTCTCTGTCTCTGTCTCCTTTCATCGCCTGATGAAGGTTAATATTCAGGAGGATGCCTATGTGTTTTTCTTTGGGTTCTCCTTCTTATTTAGCTTCTCTAAGAACCCGAATTATAGGCTCAATGTCCTTTATTTATGGCTAGAAACCAAATATGAGTGAGTACATCCCATGTTCCTCTTTTTGGGTCTGGCTTACCTCATTCAGGATAGTGTTTTCTATTTCCATCCATTTGCCTGCAAACTTCAAGAAGTCCTTGTTTTTTACTGCTGAGTAGTACTCTAATATGTATATATTCCATACTTTCTTCATCCATTCTTCATTTGAAGGGCATCTAGGTTGTTTCCAGGTTCTGGCTATTACAAACAATGCTGCTATGAACATAGTAGAGCATATACTTTTGTTGTATGATAAGGCCTCTCTTGGGTATATTCCCAAGAGTGGTATTGCTGGGTCCATGGGTAGGTTGATCCCGTATACAATTTCAAAGGAACATTTAGAAACATTTTGTAAGTACATACTTTCCAAACAAATCCATTCTTCAGAATCTATCCTAGAAAGGTATTCACACATTTGCCTAAGGATGGTATGTAAACGTTTTCTTTTCTAAATTTTTTATTGCCATTGTATGTGTTTGGAAGTTTTGCCTGCTTGTATGTATTGCACCGTGTGTGCAATGGCCAGCAGAGGGCATCACATCCTCTGGAACTGGAGTTGCAGATAGCTATGAGCCTCCATGTAGGTACTGGAAATCAGACACCAGTCCTCTGGAAGAGCAGCCAGTGATCTTAATCACACACCCATCTCTCTAGCAACTAAACATCTTCTAAAGCTATTGTTTGTAAGAAAACCAGAAAACCCTAAAAATAAATCAAGGTGAATATAACATTTAAAAGTCTGTTTATTTGTATGTATGTGTGTGTGTGTGCATGTGAACATGTACACAAGCATGTCTGTAGAGGTCATAATAGAACTCATGGGAGTCAGTTCTTTTTCTATCATGTGGGTCCTAGGGATAGAACTCAGGTCATCATCTTGGCAGCAAGCACCCTTTTCCACTGAGCCAACGTACTGGCCTCTTAATATGAATATAGCTTATTGAACTATTCTAGAATGAAACTACAGAGCAGTGTACAACTGACATAAAGGGAGAGGCAGTGCCCCACAAATGATGTACAAATGCTTCTCCAAACGGTCCTTAAACCACTTACTGAATAATCGGTCTCTTCTCCCCCACCCCTGTGCTCTCTTTGTAACGTACTAAATCCTCATCCATCCTTGGGTGGACTGCTACACGTTGTTCCGTGCCATTGATCTATCCGTCTATCCCTCCAGCTGCGGCTGCTGTAAATTTCATTGTTTTATAACTCGCCGTAATATATGATGCAGAATAAGTTCTCATTATTCTTATTTCAGAGAACATTCCTGGTAATTGCTCCAAGTCTTAAGGACAAAGCGGTATTGAGGTTTGAGTTGAAACCACATTGAATGTATAGATTTATTTAGGGGGAGCTGACGTCTTTACAGCTGGCGTCTTCTCACCCAGGTGCAAAGTTTGACACCCCATTGATTCAAATCTCCTTTTACGGCCCTCAGTAGAGGTTTATAGTTTCGTTCATATAGACCCGGCATGTTGCCTGTTAGGCTTATCCGAAGATGTTTTATGAGTATTGTCCCATACGCATATGGAGTTTGGAATGCTCAAACCAAACTTTTAATCCACTTCTTCAAATAAGTCCCTTCACTGGATCCTCCTATCACAATTCATCTGCCACAGGTGTTGGGGGTCCAAGGTCATCCTTCAGACCTTCTCAGACTCATGTTCAACTCCTGAACAAACATAACCACACTGAAAACACACCTCAAACCAGTGAACCTCTGTTCTGCTACCACCTGCCCAAACCATCGGAACTTACCGGAGCAGCTTTAACTGCTCTGTGTCTTTGCTTTTTTTCCTTCTACCCACCTACCCTTTACACAGGATCTTCTTTAAGTAAATTGATATGCAAATGTCCATGTTTAAATACTTCCAATTGTTTTGCATGCCTCTTAGATAGGACCCAACACCTTTAGCAAGACCAAGAAGGCTCAAAGGATGCAGCCCTTCTCTTTCTCTTCGGTCATCTACCCCATCCCTTTCTTTCTCATTCATGACATCCAAGACCACTGGGCTCAGCTGAAGTGACCAGCTGTTGTTGATGAGATCACTGATCAACCTCCACTTCCTCCATGTAAAAGAATTACATGCCTCGTCTCATTCATGTTGGGCATAGCCTGTGATTAGCTTTGACCAATTGAATATAAATGAGACGAGTCAATCAGAGGCTGTATTTGAACTTCCTTGGTTTGCTTTGACCTCTTGAATTCATGCCATATGGCTGACAAATTCACTCTGGGGTTGCTGGCCCAGGCTGAGAGACAGTGGGACCCACCTGAGGCCAAGTAGAGCTGAGCCCAATATACCCACTCGTTTTTTCACAGACCAATAAGGGATTATTGTCTAATGGCTAAGTTTTGCAAGTATTCACTACACAGCATTAATTAGAGCAATATCTAAGCCCAAATTTCTAAAACCTAAGCACTTCCTACAGGAAACTTAGCTATCTAGTGTGTTCCTGCACTAAGTCCCCTGTAATCAAAGTCTGCGCTCACAGCTGGAGCACAGTGATTGCGCTAAGGGAACCACACTGATCAGTCTAGACAATCAAATCGTTGAGGCAAACAGCATGAAGGAGAGGTGGGAGGTGAAACAAACAGAGGACTGGCACCAAACAACCCAGAACTGACTGCAGGATCTGGAATGAGTAAGGCTAACTCACTAAGAGATGTTGAGTAGATATATATTCTGAACTCTCAGGCTGATGGCCTGAGAGCTTGTAAGTTTCAAGAAATCTTTCCTATAGTTAAATATACAATTAAATAAAAGTTAAGCAATGGGGCAAATACATTAGACCAGTGCAGGTATTGGACAACTGAATTAATGTACTCTCCAGATTCTCCTACTTTTTCATCCTCTGGGGAAGCTCTGGAAAGTTTGGAGGCAGCTGATGAGTGAGGCGAGAAGAGAAACCTGAATCAAAAAAGTGAGAAGTGGATCTCCAAGCCTCCTCTGTCCTGCTTAGTAGTGTGTGTGTGTGTGTGTGCGCGCGCGCGCGCGCCACAAGCTAGAATCATCTGAGAAGAGGGAACCCCAACTGAGACAATGTCTTCATCAAATTGACCTCTGGGCAAGTCGGTAGGGCATTTTCTTTATTAATGATTAATGTGGGAGGGGCCAACCCATTACAAGTGGTCCTACCCCTGGGAAGGTGGGCCTGGGTTGTATAGGAAATAAATCTGGGCCCTACACCTCTTATGGGCAGCACAGTAGAGTTGAGCCTGTTGGCAGAGTACGTGTGGGTGAGCAATGTTGTAAGCCTGGGAAATCTGTCCCATTACTCATACGTCATGTGGTAGCAGGGATGGGGGAGATGCTCCCACCCATCAACACCTGAGGCAGGTGGAAGAACTGACCCTGAGGTCGTAAGAGCAGGAGAGCTGTTCCTGCCCCTCATCACCTGCAGCACTCGGGAGAGTGACTCCTACACCTCACCACGTACATCTCACCACAGCAACACTGTAGAGCTGGCCCTGAAGGTGTAGGTGTGGGAGAAACAACCCTCAGGACATGAAAGCCAGAGAACTGACTGGTTCCACCCCATGCTTGTCAATGCAAGGGGTGAACTAGCCAGGGCAATGGTGGAGAGTTCACCCTGGTGGCAAAGTAAAGGGAGAACCGGAGGACTGATTGACCCTGCAACTACCCAGGCCCAGAACCAGGGTAATGTGTTGGCCCACCCCAATATCCACCCCATCTGTGATCTGCTGGAGCACAGGTGGAGGGTGGGACAGTCCTGTGGACCCAGAGTTACAGAACATCCATGACACAAAGCAGCAACAGGATGTCCAGGAAGAGTCCCAGTGAGGGCCCAGCATCAACAGTGCAGAAGAGACCAGGGGCCTTGAATCAGACCAATGGGTCTTTGTGATGAATGCTTACATGTAAAAATGTATGGATAAAGGGGTTTGTAGATAAAGTTTCCATCCCGCCCAGTCTTGTAGCCATTCAGTCCCAAAGAAACACACAAAGGCTTACATTAATTATAACTGTTTGACCTATTAACTCAGGCTTATTATTAACTAGCTCTTATTACTTAAATTAACCCACAATTCTTGTCTATGTTTAACCACATGGCTTAGTACCTTATCTCAGTGAGGCATTCTCAT